CTGTTCTTGGAAAAACTTCAAGCAGAGTTGAAGGATTTCTCAAATAATTCTGACTGCTGTTTCGAAGATCTTGAGGTTAATCTGATCCTCTGTTTGACCTCTGACAAACATGAGTTTTGGCATGGCTGTGAAACATCCAGTCATACGGTATGTTTACTAAGTTGCTGAGGTTGATCCAAGCAGATGTGGTGTTTAAGTTGTGGCTGCTCAGAGATCCTGTAGCTACTTTTTCCTCTATTAGCCAAAATATTGTAAAATATGGTTGGCATTTTCTTCATTAAAAATATTGAAAGCTCACACATTGGGCCACTGTTAGAGCTGCACAGGTTCCTAACAGCAAACTCTTCCAGGGTGTCTGGTGAAACAGAGTGCATCAGTGTTGCACAAATTGTTAAACGAATGTAAATGTTTGAGGTTGCATGTGTGAGCTGAATTTTGTGATGGTGCTGTAAGGAACCTACACGAAGTCAGAGCAACGTGGAAAACAGTGCTGTGCAGTGAGCTCTGCAGCTGGGGTCTGGCAGGTAGGCTCCTGGAGCTTTTGGTCTCTGCTATTGATTGACTTTCAGAGAGTTTTACTGAGTTACTTATAACTTTTATACTTGGAGAAAAAATTAATAGTTGACTACATCTGCAAGGAAGTGAGATATCTTCAGTGGAATTTGTCAGGATTAGAGAGGAATATTTTGCTCTTGGTGTTTCTGGCATTATGTCGTGCAAACTCAGTTCTTCCTGAGGCTTTGTCAAAGTGAGAAAACCATCAGGCAATAAATATGGCAGTCAGAATAGAGAGAGAGAGAAGGGAGAGTCTGAAAGTCAGAATATCTGGTTAGAAATATACGGAATGCTGTGGATTGCTATATAGATATATTTTGAGCAGATACTGGGGGCAGCTTCTAAATACATGCATTTTTCTCTTTCTCGGTCACTCTGCCTCCAGAATGGACCATAACTTCCTGATGGAGGAGATGCTGCCACCTCAAATGATTTGTGTTTGTCTGGGTTATGGATTCTGTTCATCTGTTCTCTGGATTCTGAAGTATCCCACTGCAAGCAGCTGTAAACCCCATGTATTGCTAGGATGCTGCGTGTGTTAACAAGGGCTTGTAAAATATCTCAGGATATGGCTGTGTATCTATTTATTATTTGTTGTGAAAGCTCCTGTGTTACTGAGAGGAATTGTCTTCCGCTCATTTTGAATCTTGACTCACTACATTTGTTTTTTGGAGAATTGTTTGAGGTATTTTGGGAGCTCTCTTTTGACAGCTGTGTTGCGTTTCACCCCTCCATTTCTGAAAAGCTTTAGCCCTCTCAAGTGTAGTCTGAATTATCTTGAGGAGCTGTATTATCATAAAATCACAGAACCACCGAAGTTGGAAAAGACCTCCAAATCATCCAGTCCAACCACCCAGCTTCCACCAATATTTCCCCACTAACCCATGTCCCTTAGTAGAGCATCAGAATGTTTTTTGACCTCCACCACCTCCCTGGACAGCCCCTTCTACCACCTGCCTGCTCTTCCAGAGAATAAACTTTTCCTAATATCCATCCTGAATCTCCCCTAGCACAACTTGGGGCCGTTCCTCTAGTCCTATTGCTAGTTATGTGATAGAGAAAGAGAGAGACTGATTCATAATACATATTGTGAAGTGTTTCTTGTTATGTTTAAACTGTAGTTTTAGGGGGTAACAATTTTTGTTTGCATTTGATTTAATAGAAAGCACAGAATTGTAGGAATTGCAAGGGACCTCTGCAGAGCATCTAGTCCAGCCCTCTGCCTAAGCAGATTCCCTACAGTAATTAAGTTTCAGAAGTAGTTCATATTTTTACTATCCTAATTGCAATTTAATGATGACTGAATTGAATGTAACTGTATTGTTTGCATAAATAAAATAAGAAAAATATTGTGGTGAGCATGTAGACAAGGAGAAGGCCAAGGGAAAGATGGAGGCCTGTGTGGCAGTTGTCCCTGTGACTGCCTCTTCTCTTCTCTCTGGAGCACCTCAGTTATTTTGGCCATAGTATTTTGAAACAAGTGAAGCTTGGCTTGTTGAGGAAGGCAGGGATGTACTGATGCAATTGAATGCATGTGAGTGTAGGGCTGGAGAGGGTCTCCTGGCTCCTCAGAGTGGGACCCATGCAGAACCTTGTGTATAATGCTTGAGAAGTTAGTAGAAATGGTTGAAATCCGTAGGAAGCCAGTTGTGTAAATGCTCATGTGTTGGTAAATAAGGTAAACTACTCAACCCTGCTTTCCTTTTGCAGACAGTGTTTGTTTTTTTCCAATCTGCCTTCAAAGCTAAGTCTCTAACAGAACATTTGGAACTCAGAGGAAATAAATAATGCCTTTGTATTTTCCTGCCAAATGTATTACCAAATGTCTTGGTTGAATAGCAAGCTACTGAAAGGGCCTCGTTTCTGCATTGTGGAGGTTCTGTCACTTATTTTAAATGCAATTTTTCAACCTTTGTGTCTTTTCGCAAAGCTGCAAAACAGCAAAGGAAGGGAAAGGAAAGTGAAGCAGTTCTGCCCTGGGAAAGAACACGTGGAATAATATCACGCGCAGGTTTGTGCTTGTTGTAAGAGCAACCTGGCAGCTCTCCAAGTGTGATCTTCAGGATGGCCAGAGGGCTTTCTGGAGATGGAAGGGATGGACGTGGTCTTTTCACTCTGGTGATCACTCGTTTATCTCTTCCTTTTTCACCTGAATGTCTGATCTTGGGTATGGCAAACTTTGTGCCTGGATTTGCTTCCGTAGCAGCACAGGCTCTGAGTGTTAAAACAGATCAGAGAAGATGAGGAGAAGCTTGTTCCATCATGAATTCTGCTTTGTGTCCTGTATTCCTACTGTTATCTAGGATAGCAAGGGTAAGATCTGGTTCTCCTGTCCAAACCTCAGTGTGGATATACCCTTACATAGCTCTGAAATGACAAGGTTGCTTCTGCTGCAGGAATTGCTATCTTATTCAAACAGCTCTGTTCCACAGCGTAAGTACATGTGTCACAACGTGGGATTGTACATCTGTGTTACCATAGCAAATGGAAAAACAACTCCTGCAGGTTTTGTGCAGCAGTATTAGGCTTGGACAAGTCTTGCAGCAGATGACCTTCTTGTGGCTGTGCTAGGAAAAACTGGCAAGTACCCAGATCTTCGAGGATAAGTATTAATTGTCTGCAGACTGTCTGGCAAGAAGAGTAAATGTGATGCAATGATAATAGCTGGGTATGTAATCCTGCTTCTTCGCAACTCCAGTGCTTTTTCAGTCTGGATTTGCTTTATTGTATGGTAATTGACCACTGTTAAGACATAATATCCGATAAGATATTGGAGTCTGTTCTGCATCTCTCTAGCTGCTAAACCCATCCTGTTAGCTAGAATGAGGATTTGGTTTTTTGGTTTTCTTTTTTTTTTGGAATCACTTATGTCCCAGAGCATTTGTTGCCTGACTGATTTCATGGCCTGCTGGTTAAGCAGTGGGATTTGTGTATGGCAGCGTTAGAGCCTGTTTCACAGAGCATGCAGTTTGTCTGCATGTGCGGAATCAGTTTGAGATTTAAACCCTGTTTAAGACCTTTTTAAGCTCCTTGGGTTTAACTGTCGCTTAGATTTTTTTGCCTCACGGAAGTGAGGGAGTTTGACTTGGTAAGAATAACAGGTAAATTGTTTTTTGAGGAGGCTTTTTGCTTCATTCTGCGTTATGGAAATGTTCTCTTTAAGGCTCAGAATTACAATGCCAAAATGAGTGGGATCTTTATAGGCTTCCTTGGGATCGTAGTGCCTTCTGCCTCTGTTTAGGAGTTTTCTGTATTGAGAAGGGAATATTGTTTGTGCTCATAACTGTTGTTAAGGTTTGTTCTTTGCCAGCCTGACCTGAGGACTGCCCTTAGTTTCCAACTTCTTGAGAAGCCTGAGAAATACATTAACATAAACTCTTGACCCTCCTCCCACCCCAATTCTCAATACTTTGTTTTCTTCATAGAAATGTTTTGCTAATTAAATATGTGGCTAAATATTTTCTTGACTTATTGCTACTATGCTAATAATTCACTGTGTTTACATAAGGATGAGAGAATTCTAATTCTTTCAGGGTTTATAGTTTCTGAAGTTTGGGAACCAAGCCTTGTTTAGACAGGAGAGTCTCCAAACAGTTTACCTGATTCTCCAGGGCTGTAAATAAAACTTTATCACCAGTTTCACGTGCTTCATTCCAGGGGTTTGCTCACCTGAGTAACTGCCAATAGACTTTGGGCAAGTGGTATTAGTGGTGGGATGCCTACAGGAAAACTCTGGGCTGGTTTGCTTTCTTTCAGTTTCAGGTGGGCATCTCCAAGGAGGATGGAATCTATTCCAGAGTCTGCAGATGCCTTTAGGGAGCCAGTGAATTTCCCTGGAGGTTTTTATTCTTTTGCTACTCTCTCTTTGCTACTTTTGTTTCTGGAGAGAGTCTGTAAGTGTCACTATGTCACTGACTTGGTACTGTGTCTTAGTTACATTGCACTCTGATTTCTGGGGTGCTCATGATGGTTGATATTCTTAAATTTGGAATGAAGGAGTTAACTGCATTGGTTTTTGTGTCTGTGTTCTCTCATTCCACATTTCAAGATAGGAACTGAAAGCAGGAAAGAATTCTTTGTATCTAATATGTACTTAAATACTGATTTGGTTAAATGAACGTAGGCAGATGAAGAACATGCTGTGGTGGAAGAAAGATAATTATGTAACTGCTCTGAATTAATTGCTCACCTTTAAGCGCTGTGTGTCACTTGGCTGTTAGTGATTGTTTGCTTCGTGTTTCAAAGCAGTAGTGGCCACACATGTTGGTCAACTGTAGTCACGCTTCTTGAATGGGAAAGTGAAGAGGCATTTCATTCTTCAGGTCCGCTGTTAGTGTTACAAAAATATTTAATGGAACAGTAATGGATAGAATGAACTTCATTAATATACAAGCCTAAGGAGTGAACAGGCAGTGCTCTCAAAATACGTTTTTATTCTCTTTCAGGTAATTGAGAATGGGTCCTCAACGATGCTGAGTGTACAATGGGAAGTGTCACGCTCCGCTATTTCTGTTATGGGTGCCTTTTCACATCGGTGACCTGGACACTTCTGCTCTTTGTTTATTTCAACTTCAGTGAAGAGAACCAATCCTTCAAGAATGTGCCCGTCAAGGGGCTAGAACCTCAGAAGCCATTTCCAAAAAAATTCTACCCCCGTTTCACTCGGGGACCAGTTAACATACCTGAATTGCAGCAGAAAGAGAGTAAATTTAGAAATCCTATTGGAAATCATGTCCAGGACCCAGTAAAGGGAGAGGGAGACTTCTCTCCTGAAATGGGTGAGTGCTTTTTAGTGCGGGTGACAAAAGAATAGAAATAGAACATGAAAATTGTCTGTTTGTTCAAAGGATTTCAGGGTAAAACTGTGTAATAAGGTAGCTTTGGTGTTAAATGTAGGTGATACAAGTGGCTCTCTTAATTAAGAGTTATTTGAAATTTTATTCTGTTGTGTATAATCCAAAATGTACTATTTCTAACAGTTATAATTCTGCTGTGTAAGTGTTAACAGGGAGTGGATTACACCAAGATGTCTGCCCTTAATGTGGTTCTTGACTGATTTATTTATTTTTTAGAAGGTTCAGGATATGTCTTTCATGTCTTGCTTCTGTATTGATTAGGCTCAAATACATGAATTTTAATTAACCACAGAGAAGCTCTGATCTTATGAGCAGTTAAAAGCAGCTTGATAGCAATACATAATGAAGAAGACCATTGATATGGAGAATATTCTTGGAGTATGAAATAGCCTAAAAAAAAAAAAGAAGGATGGCAAAATTACAATGTAAGATTAATCGAAATGATGGTGATGGTTGTCAAAACCTGCTTATTTTGTACCAACAAAAATCTGTATATTCCATTGGAGCATATTTCATCAATGAGATTAGGTTTGCATTCCAAACTAAAATGCTTAGTGTTTTCTGCTGTATTTGAATATGCATTGAGTATTAGCCTACAAACTTGCTTTAAGTCTGGTACATATTGAGTGTTATAATATCTACTGCTTTTTGGGGAGTTGTGTCAAAGTACCCTCCATAGCCTGGAGCTTAATACTTATATCCAACTGAACTCTTTCATTATTACTGCATCATTAGCTGTAAAAGTCTGTAGACCTTTAACAAACTTGTATGATAGACTTGTGCTCGTATGTAGAAAAACACCTTCCAAAACAGAAATGCCAATTTGTGTTGCCTTGTGGCATTACGAATGTTTATCAATTCATTGCAAAAACCATAAGAGCCAAGGGAGGTGAAAGCCAGTCCAGAGGTGCCATTTCTTTCCAACTATTCAGTGCTGGCCAGGAAAGAAATTGGAGCTTTTCAACTGAGGAGTCTCTTGATCTTCAAACAGAGTGACTAGTTTGGTTGGTGAAAGCCAAGGGGATTTGCGGTGCCAGGATAAGCTCTACATGAATAATGAGGAGACAGCTGGCTCTGTTTGAGTTAGATCAGGTGCTGCAGGAAGGGGCTTCATGCCTCTCTGGGGTAGGGCAATGATAAACATGCAAAGCAAAAAAAAAAAACCACACCAAAACCCAACAATAGAAGGATTGGCATGTGATAGCTGAAAACACTGACCTGGTAATCTGTTTTTTTCTTTGCAAACTTATGAAATCCACGTAACACTGCTGAAGTCAATCCTGAGCTGATGTTTCCATTGCAAATCTTCTTTTCCAAAGACTTGTATCTGCTGTTTGGACTGAAACCTTCCATGTCTTTTGCAGATGTTTTGGATGTTGTTCTTTATGAGGATGTTTTAAAAACTATTAGCATTTCTTCTAGTCCATATTCAGAAGATCAGAATAAAGTAGCTAGTGGTTGTGTATTGGTGGGCTGTGGAAGAAAACACTCAGTGTGTGTTTCTTAAGCTTGTGGTTTGTATAAAGGGAATGTTTTAAGTTGACCCAGTGGCACTGTGTTACTGTGATGCATGTAGATATGATTGAGCTGGCTGCCTAAGCTCACAAGCTGGAAACCTTTCTCTGAAACTTCATGTGTTCAAAGGAAGGCCAGCTTACCCTTTTAGGCCACTGGTGCTTGAAGAGAGGTGCTGCTACTCTGACCAGACCTCATTCCTGCTCTCTGTACGAATGTCAGAGCATCTACACTTCATAGAATTGTTTGAGTTGGAAGAGATTCCTAAAGGTCATCTAGTTGTCCCTCCAGGCCCTGCAATAAGTAGGCAGACCTACAGCTGGATCTGGTTGCTCAGAGCCCCATCCAGGCTGACTTTCAGTGTCTCCAGGGGTGGTGCACCCACCACCTCTCTGGGCAACCTAATCCAGTGCTTTACTATCCTTACTGTTTAAGGAATTGTCTTTGCTGTACTCAGGACTGAAGGCAGTGGAGTGAGAATTGTAAGAGATGGGAATCTGGATATCTGGATGCAGATTTTCCTCTAGAAGGTGGTCTTGCTATACCCATAGGTAGACTTTGTGCTGAAACAGCTGTGGTGCAGCTGTGCTTTGAAAGCCAACCTTGTTCTTAAGCTTGAAACTTTTTCTTTGCATTTCTTATGCTCTTTATTCTGTTTTCTAATCCACTGCGTTTTCCCTGCTTTTGAGCTCAGTTGGCTTTTGCATAGCTGTCAAAAACTCAGCATGAGGAATGAGAAGAGTCTGGAAGGTTTGATTTTATTCTGCTTTACAGAGAAGGCAAATGAGTGAGAGAGTGAGAGATTGCTGTCAAAAACAACTGTAGGGAAGATGATGGTGTTGTGCTCTTACCACTTTCTTCTACTTGAATTTTTTTTTGGTAGAAGATTCATTTGAAGCACCATAGTAGTTTGCTTTTCTTTACCCTGGTGAGCATTTGGCTCACTGAGAGAGGAACCCTGGCACTGAATCAAGGCAGGCACAATGGCATTTGGGATTTCACCTTGGCCTCTGGCAGTGTATTTATTTATACTAACAATTGCTGCCTCTGCTGCGCTCAGCAACAGCTGATGCTTGTGCTAAAATAATCAGCAAAGGAACAGCTAGATTTCTTGCTATTTTTTTTTTTTGTTGTCAGTGTCTCAAGTGAGAAATAAGAAGTTGCCGATTCAGTCGTAGCTCTTCTTGTTACTGCAGGCACAAGAGAACTGTATGGAATTGGAGCTGTTTCTGTGAGGGCTTTTTTCCCACTGTAACTATTTTTTTTTCCTCTCAAAAATCCCACTTCTAGACCTGGACAGGTGCTGATTCATTGTGTGAGCAGTCTTTCCTGTCTTTGATGTTGTTTGGCAGTGCAGGGCTTAAGAGGCCATTTCAGAAACGGGAATGTGTCTGTTAAGGCAATAAATACAACAAAGCCTTCAGTTTGGAGGAAGATTTCATGTTGTTGTAGCTACACAGACTGCTCAAAAGCACTATTTATCTGAGGGGTAACAAAAACAGTTGAGCAAAAATACAATCCACAAAACCAGAGAGTAAAGGAATTTCTGAAGAGCGTGGTTGGTTTTGGGGAAAGTTAAAGCACGCTTTTCAATCCTTGATCATTTCCAAAGGATACTTTAATTCTTTTCACTGACCTTGGTGTGTTCCTTCTGCAGGAATGATTTTTAATGAAGAAGATCAGGAGGTCCGAGACTTGGGCTATCAGAAGCATGCTTTCAATATGCTCATCAGTAACAGGCTGGGGTATCACAGGGAGGTTCCTGATACAAGAGATGCAAAGTATGTATGGTTATTCAAATATGTATCGTATTTATTTAATTTTTGTGAGCTGTCTTCCTAGCTGTGCTCTCAATTACTTCAAGTGTGCTACAGTACTTCTTTTTTCCAAGCTTTATTGTTGATGCTACAAGTACTGTAATTGTCAGAAGAGATGCTATAATTGTCTTTGGTACCATTGGAAACTTGGATGTTAAATGTTCAGGTGCCCAAGTGGATGAGTGTTCTCTGGAGAAGATGCATTCAACTTACATATGCTCAATATTTGCTGCAAGCCTAGAGGATAAGTTAGATGAGAAGAGCTTTCTACTTCTTTTTTGAATTTGTTTGGTATCTGCATGACACTGCTGGATATACTGTGTTTTATTATGAAGCAAAATTTTTCTTTAATCCGTACAGTGCATATGGAATCATCACAGTAACAACATGATAAGAAAAAACCCACTGAATTGAAAAAAATAAATAAGCCTGCTTCTGTTTTTCTAGTGGTTGCTGTGGTGTGGGTCAAGGTAATGAATCGTACTTGCTGAAATCCTTCCCAAGAGCTGAATTCATTCCAAGTCAGTGAAGGCTGCTTTTGTATACCACTGTTTCCATTTATGGTTTTCCTTATTTTTGTTGGATTCCCTCATGCCTAGCATCTTCAAATGGCATTAATCTGTGATACTGTAGCCTATTGGAGGTTATAGATAAAATTTGAAAATAAGCAGAATGAACTTTGAGTGAGATTCAGTGGGGAGCTTAAGATGCCTAATTTAGTTATCTGCATGTTAGTCAGTTGTCTCTACTGTTATTACATTTAGCAGAGATCCAGTCAATGTAGTTAATGGAGCATACACAGCTCTTCAGCTAACAAAATGCACTTCTCTGCCTCAGGGTGAGCTGAATGCTGTCTTGACTTCACTGATAGTATTGACCAGATTTGAATGTCTTCATCTGCAGGCTGAATCCCAGTGTTTGGTTCTCTAAACAAGTATCTAGCACTACTGGAGATACTTTCAAATATCCAACCAGCTCTCCAGTGGCTGGGCAATAAATGTATTTGTCATAATTACACAGAATCACAGAATTGTAGGGGTTGGAAGGGACCTCCAGAGATCATCGAGTCCAACCCCCCTGCCAAAGCAGGTTCCATACAGCAGGTCGCACAGGTAGGCATCCAGGCAGGTCTTGAACATCTCCAGAGAAGGAGACTCCACCACCTCCCTGGGCAGCCTGTTCCAGTGCTCCGTCACCTCACTGTAAAGAAGTTCTTGCGCATATTTGAGCTGAACTTCCTATGCTGCAGTTTCCAGCCGTTTCCCCTTGTCCTGTCTCCACTCACCACTGAAAAGAGTCCAGCCTCGCCGTTCTGCCCCCCACACCTTAGATATTTATAGACCTGGATCAGGTCCCCTCTCAGTCTTCTTTTCTCAAGGCTGAACAGACCCAGTTCACTCAGCCTTTCCTCATAGGAGAGATGCTCCAGGCCCTTTACCATCTTTGTGGCCCTCCGCTGGACTCTTTCCAAGAGATCCCTGTCTTTTTTGTACTGGGGAGCCATTCTTGTACATACCTGAGCCACCTTAGAGTGCTGGGCAGCGTTTTGATAGCTGAAATAAGCCTTTACTATTTACTCTTGTTATGTCTTAAGCATCTGTTATTCTCCTTCCCACTACAATCCATCATATTTTTTTCTATCAAATAGCAGTGCTAATTGTAAGTTTGCATTTATGTGGAGAGTAACTTACTATGCTTAATCCTGTAGATGTTAACTAACTTGGATGTAAGCACCTTACGACATTCATAGAGTGACAATAGCCCTTTGGAGATCCCAGATAACAAAATAAGTACTATACCTGTTTGCAGGTGTAGAGAGAAATCCTACCCTTCTGATCTGCCATTTGCCAGTGTTATCATCTGTTTCTACAATGAAGCACTTTCTGCCCTGCTTCGCACGGTGCACAGTGTCCTGGATCGCACTCCTGCACACCTTCTTCATGAAATTATTTTGGTGGATGACAACAGTGAACTGGGTGAGAACTTTTGGAAATATTTTAGTCAGAGCTTGCACTTCTCAGCTTTCCTGAATCTTCCTGTGCTTTACTATCAGTCTGAATGTGAAACCTGTAAAACTAGTTGTTACTGCTGTCTATACCTGAAAAGTCCTAGCCACTATGGATGCAAGATATTCCATTATGTCCAGAATTATATCTGCTTTGACACTTCCCTGATGTGCCATTTTCCTGATGATCTTTGCATTATATGGATTTCAACATTCAAAAACTGGTTTTTGAAGCTAATAATGAGAGGTGTCCGGGCTACTCAAGTGTTCAGAGCAGATTACTCTCTCAGCAAATTTCTTGGGCCAATCCTGCATGTGAATGCTTCTGAAAGGCATTGAATGCTCATAATCCCTGCTGAGGTCCCACAGATAAGTGGATGTGGCACTATGGAAACAATGCCTTGTTTTTTAATACTTGCTTGATATTTCAGGACGATGGAGTGCTCCATCGGATCAGAGCTGGAGCAGAGCTCAGCCTTTGCTGGAAGGGTTCTACATGGCTCTTGCACAGCCCCTTGTGGCCGCCCTAAGAGTAGCTGTTGCTGGCTCTTTGTGGAGCAGCCATCTCCACCAAGCCATGCCCCAGAGGGGAAGACCTTGCAGAACTTCAGTACTCTTGAAAGATTGATGCTCCAGCGTTTTTCTCTTACACAAAGCAAAAGGCAAAAACAGACGTAATCCAGTGGTTTGGTATCTCAAATTGTTGTATGCCAGTTGAGGAATGCGTTAGTCCAGCAGGACTTGCAAGGAGGATTGTGCTAGTTGCCTGCCTCTACATAAGTCCAAAATTTTGTGCATTTTTAAAATGATTTTTAGGCTCTTTAGTACATAGGACCTTTCTGTATCTCATATTTTGGTTCCCAAGTTAAGATCTCATTTGCTTTGTGAGACTGAGATGCATCATCTCTTGTAGAATTAAATTCTCTTGTGCAGCTATTTTCTGTCTGTGAGGTCAGGTCAGATGTTAAGATGTGGAGAAAAGAGGTCAAACATACTTATCCTTGCTGATAAGTAAGCATAATGTTTAATAACTTTTGTTCTTTTGTTCTTTGGAAGCAATAAGCACTCCCTGCTACAAGTCTCTTGTGCAAATTGTTATTTTCAAGTTTAATATCCTTCATACTCAAATCTAAGCTTACTTCAGAACCCTCTCTTTTGAATATAGTTACGCATTTGGTTAACGTCTGTTTAGGCAGTAATGCCATCACTCTTCTGGCCTGTCACCTAATTCAAAGGCCAAATTAGATTCAAAGCATTGAGTTGTTATTCTTGCCTTTCTGGCTGTAAATGAGTATGTTCTGCAGCTAAGGATGGGAGAAGATACTATTTTTAGAGAACTACTAGTCTTATTGGTGAAACAACCAGTATAACACCAATGCGTGCAGTATGAGGAACAAGCAAGTCCCTGAACTACAACAACAGAGGGATATGTGAATCCTGTGACTGATGTGCCATGGTGGAGTGTTCTAGGCCACTCAGAAGGGACAGGCAAGGCAGGGTGTTTATATACTTCAGTTAACTTTGCTCCCTCTCAAAAGCATGTGCTTGTCCACAGTGCTCTTAATCATAAAATGGAGTTGCAGGGGTCCCTGCAATCAACAGGGAGACCTACAGCTCAATCAGGTGCTCAAAACCTGGTGCAGCTTGACATTGAATGTCTCCAGGGATGAGGCATCTGCTACCTCTCTGGACAACCAATTCCAGTGCTTCACAACCCTTACTGTGAAAAACAAAACTATTTCCTTATATCTCAGCTCTTTTAATTTGAAACTTTTCCCCTTCTATCACTAAGTGAAGTGGTCAGTTTGAATGATTATTTTGAATTTCAGAAAAGGAACTACCTGGGAGGGGTGTTTGTAATTCTGTTTATCTGCTGTTGAGTCAGAGGGTACAAAGGATGAAATGTGTTGTTGTGCTTTTCAAGTGTCAGTATTTGTTTCAGTATGTGGAACATAATTTAAATCACTTTGCGTGAGTGAAAGGGCTTTCATTACTCTTACTGTTTTTGACAGTCTGCATTAAGAATTTAGGAAGAGAAATGTTATCTCCTCATATAATGACCTTAAACTTATATTTTTTAGCAGTGGTAATTCCTTTTAGCACTGAGTCTGCTCTTTCCCATTAACTTGAATGATATTGTAGTAAAGGCTTTGCAAAATGATAGCAATCCAGTCTTCATCAAGAAACTGCAGCTTAGTATTTAGCCCCGATTTGAACATCTGGGGCTTGAAACAAAACTCTCCCAAAGCATCCATCCTGTTGTTGATCTTGTATTCTCCTTCCAGCTGACTTGAAGAAAGACTTGGTTGAATATGTTAAAACTCAGCTTCCTAAAACAACAAAACTAGTAAGAAATGAGAAGCGGGAAGGTTTGATTCGAGGAAGGATGATTGGAGCCTCTCATGCTACAGGTATACTTTCTTGTTTCTCCTTTCTTTGCATACTCTGACCTTATTTTAGTGACTCTTCTCTTTCTGTGATGCAGCTTTTTCAGATGCTGAGTGTTTGACATGCAATTGCTTTACCCCACTGCAAAGATGTCTGTTATGCCAATTTCTAAGCTGCACAACTGAAGCTGGGGGAGGAAAAATTTGGTTAACGCTACTTCAGGTGTAAAGTGTTAAATAGTTTCAGCATGTCAGTGACTCTGTTAAACTACATTACAACAGCTGTATGAAGTCTATTGGTTGATACCTATATGATGGTGATTGGAGACCTTAGCTAATGTTAATTAAATATTTGTGTGATGATATTGACAGTGTTCTACAGAAAGTCTTCTGTATTTCCTCCTAGTTTTGCTGAATTACTCCTCATCTGAGGTTTTTGTTACTTTCCTAATGACTTAGCTCTCCCAATGACTTAATTAGAAGGAGCAAGAAAGATTTGTTTCAGTGAAAATGTAATGTAGATGTAATAAAGATGTAATAAAGCCACTGTTTTTATGGTTTCTAATTTGGTAAAATGGTTTGTTTAAAAAAAAAAAAAAAAAAAAAAAAAAGGAAATTTCTGCTGTGTAAGAGGGGAGTAGGCTTTTTTCCAAATCACCCAAGCAATGACTTGGCAAATCTCGAAGCAGATTTTAATATCTTTTTACTCTTGTCTAAGTATTGATTTATGCTTTTCTTCCTTCCTGTATAAACTCATTTTTAATAAGTGAATAATAAAAATGAGTTGATTATTTAGAATGGGTCAGTGAAGTAGGCAAAAACAATGCCTGACTACATTTAGTGAGGCAGTGAGCAATTTACCTTATTCTTGATTGAAGGATCTGTGTTTGAGGAATGCCTCCCTCTGCCCCGGGTATTGAGTTCTCAAAGTATCCTCAGCATGTTTCATGTGGGCATTTTTGCCCCAAAATGACAATCTGCTTTCTTATCACAGTAAACTCAGAGGTGCCTTCTGAATCGCCATTTAACTGTAATGATTCTCACAAAGCTTTTCTGTTGTTGTAGAGAGTGCTAATTGGGATAAACTGTGTCTGGTCCTTTATGTATGCTGTGCCATTTACCTTAATGTACTTCCTTGTTAAGCCTTTGTTGCATGAGGAAGTATAGAGGACTTCTCAAATAATTTTGATTGGTGGCTAAAATATTGTAATTGGTGTTTACTCATTAGCATTGTAATGGCATAATCCAGAGAGAAAATTGTGCTTACATCTTGTAAACTGTGCTTGGACCCACTTGTATTAATGTAATCTTAAGTCATTTTACTGCTCCTCTGAACTTTTGGAGTCTGCTTTTCCCCTCAGTCAAAAATTGCCTGTTGTTAATAGAAACACACAGACATAACTTGTCTAAGTTTTTTTTTTAAAGCTCTTTTCCATTTTTTCCACATTATGTAAATTTAATGTTATTCTAAAGTTATGCAGTTAAAGTTCAGATGATTTCTTAGACTAGCTGAACCTCTCAGGAGCCAAATTATCCTCTCTGATCATGGCAGGTAATCTGATAGACCTGACAGGACTGAAGTGTTGGTTGGTCTCATACTGGTGGGTCTGGCTGTGCCACATCAGGGCACCTGCTCTCCTTATCAAGATCTGGATCCACAATAACTAAAGCTAGTGAAATGTAGAGATTTTTCTGCATTACTTTACATTCAGGAATTGAAGTGCTGTCATCTGTGTCTTGAATGAATGCAGATTAATTTGTCAGAATGGCTCAGCTTAAAACTCACAGATCTTAGCTACAGCAGTCAGTGCTGAAGTGTGATATGAAGGAAGCTTAAGGTGATTACAGTCAATGGACAAAAGCAGCTTTGTCACAAGGATGGTTCATCCAGCCCAGTAACTGTCATCTTTGTCTGCCTCTGTAGTCTCGTTCATGCATAGAAGGTGCTCCTCTTCAGAACAAGTCTATCTCCAGTCTCTGAGAGTTCTGATGTTCCTTTTAAAGTACAGCAGTTGTGTTTGGTCTGAGTGTGATATCTGATGCCTATTTTAAGCAGTTCATAACGTGTGATAGCCAGGATCTACCTTCTGCCTCAGTGACTGAACTAATCCCAGTGCTGTCTAGTTCTTCCATCCTTTTGAGTGCAGATGGCATTTCCCTTCTGTTACGCAGAGTTGTGAGAATACTGCTGATATTCTGCAGCTCCAATTGCACATGTTTGTGTATTGCATGTTACCTCAAGTCTTTATGTTCTGTGTTTTTTGGCCTTTGTAGGAAAAGTGCTGGTTTTCCTGGACAGTCACTGTGAGGTAAACAAGATGTGGCTGCAACCTCTGCTGACTCCAATCAAAGAAGACCACAGGACTGTGGTGTGCCCTGTGATTGACATCATCAGTGCTGACACACTTACCTACAGCTCTTCCCCAGTTGTGCGTGGAGGGTTTAATTGGGGCCTGCACTTTAAGTGGGATCTTGTTCCTTTGTCAGAGCTTGAAGGTCCTGAGGGAGCCACTGCTCCAATCAAGTAAGGCTCCTCTTGCATGGTGTGCAGCAGTCAGCTCTGTGTAACGTATGGGTGCTCAGGAGCACTTTTACATGTTATGAAATGTGTCTGGGCATGCAGCTTTAGAAGCAGATGCCTGACCTATCAACTATTTCTCTTTATTATGTTGCCCAGAAGTAGTTTTATTTTCTACTACCTGTTTCACTTCTGTTTCTAGTATTTAATCATGTATTAGTTGATTAAGAAGGTACCCTCTTTAGGGAGAAAAGCAGCAGCATATTAGCAGATTTTGCTGAAGGCACAAGTCTTAAAGAGCTTGTGCTCTCTATTAATGGTGAAATTACCTGACAGACTTAACCCACCTGCCAGTGTTTGTTTCCAATTTGACATTTTTGGCTTAATGATCGTAATTTTGATGTGATCTTGTCTCTAGTAGCTGCCTGGCTATTCCACTAGAGCTCATAGGCTCTGGACATTCTGTGGTGAAATGCCAAAGAATTGCTAGTCTGGGAAAATGCATTTTTGTGGCAATGTGAAGGTGATTTCATAACTGATGGGATAGGATGCAGTATTTGCTTATCTTCTATGTCAATATTTTTTTTCCTATTTGAGCAGGGAAAAAGGTTTAATGCTTTGTTTGAACTTTTATTTTGTCATAAAGCTTTGTAAATGAATGCACAGGGACATGAAGGCCGTCTTCAAAACAGTTCTGTCACAATATGGCAAATGTCCCAGATAGCTTTTTGGAATCCTGTCCTTATTTCTGTGGTCTGGATTGCATGAACACCATTCTGAAACAAAAGTCTTACTTAGTAAGATTTAACGTGGGGCTGTGAGAACATCCTCCTTAGCCTTTTAACCATTCGTGGCTGTCTGACCTGTACAGAACTGGCAATGCCTGGTTCTTACTGGAGCCGTAACTCTTATAAACTGATTTTAGTAGATGCCTTTCTTAAACAGTAGACTCACACAGCTCAGGTACAAGAACAAAAGCATTCCCAGTACAAATCCCTTCATGAAAACAGCTAGTGCTGGTAAAGCGAGAAGAACCCGAATGTGCTTTCTTTAGTTGCAGATACAGAGTTCAGTTTGGTAAGTGGGAAGAGTTTTCCTTTTTTTTGAAAGCAAACTGCTTCACTTTTACTAGATTTACAAAGTGATTCAGAAGTTGGGTGCTGTCATCTTCATTCTCTTTCCTTGGTCTGTAAACACAGAGCGTTTCAGGCTATGAGGTTCTCTGCTGTGGTCTGACAGCTCTGTACTTAGTCTTTCTGTGTCTGCCCATCACAAGGCTTTGTATGAGAAGCCAGGAAACTTTCTATTACTGAACAGCTTGACTGGCTTGTATGGGGAGTGTTGCTGTAGCAGTTTCTGAAGGGAATGGGTGGATTGGGGGAATATGAATAAGGAGCAGTCATAGATAGACTTAAAATCTATATTCTATTTGGAATCTTTCTCAAAGGTTACTTGGGGCACACCTGGAGATCAGTTCTCACTGTGTCCAATAAGAACATGTGTGCAAGTACAGAAACTCAAATACTTATCAATGACTTTACCAACTGACCATGGCATTGATGATGAAACAGTGCTGCTCCTGGTACTTGAGTTGTCTGAGGCAGAGTACCATGTATTTTAGCAGGCTGCTTGGCTTGTATGACTGAAGTTTTGATCTTCTTTTGCTTAGCTAGGGTATTATTTCTTGATCTTATTAATATGCCCTCTGGTTTCTGCTCTTTTTTCTGTTGTTCAATCAAGCCCAGTCAGTATAAATCCCTCCTGTAAGAGGAAGATGAACACACATCATTGTAACTGTATGCATTTGTGATTGTAGAAAGATCATCTGTCTTTATCAGCAGCTAATTAAACATGGCTCCTAGTTCTCAATTTAGAAAACTAAATGGAATTCAAACCTGCACAGGTGTTTGCTATTTTCTGAATGGAGAGACAGCAGTTTGTTTCTCTTTCTCTGTGTCATCCTTCTGCCTTGACTTCACTATATGAGGAAATATGGTTTTATGGGTACATCAATAGTGAAAGATCACAGGGAGAGACTATGGAACTGAAATCCTGCAGAAAGTGGAAATCATCAGCTGAAAATTGCAGGTCTAAATGCAAGCTTTTTTTAACCAGTTCAGCTGAAATCCCTCTTCTTGCTTAAAACATTGACCAGCTTTCACTGTTCCATTTTAGATCACCCACTATGGCTGGAGGCCTGTTTGCCATGGACCGTGAGTACTTTAATGAGCTTGGACAGTATGACAGTGGCATGGACATCTGGGGAGGAGAAAATCTGGAAATATCTTTTCGGGTACTCTCACTTTGTGTGTATTGGAGTATGAATCTCAGTGTCTGGCTTCTCTTCCCTCTATACAGTGTATGTAGTAGCACTGGAATAGCTGTTTGCACGCACAAACCAGTGCTTTTGTTCCTAGGAGGGATGCCTCTAGCACACTAACCTTTATAATAACTTTCAGGTCAAGTTTTAATAGGAAAATTGAAAAGAATTTTGAGCTCATACTTGAATTTTTTTTCTTTATTTGGCTAAATTTTTCATGATACTGGAAATAAATCACTAGAAATAATACCAGACATACACAGAAAAGAGTAATCACACATTTATGAAAATGGTTTATACAAACACTTAATGAATTCTGCAGGTAGGTTGAAGATATATGTGGCTAACTGCAGTGTAGGCAGTATGTAAAGTTATATTTCCTTAGCTTGTGGTGCTTTTCAAACTCCATTTTGACGGCATGGGAATGTAAAACTTCTGCTGTACTCTTAACTCACAAAAAAAAACGCATCATATTGGTTGGAAAAAATATGAAGAAAATCATTAACAAGAGATTTGGAAGTGATGCTTCATTGGGATTGCTTTATTTTCTCCTCTTCACTGTCACTTCCCCTGATAGAAAACAGCTTTTCGTGCTCAATGCCATGTTTTTATTCTTTGCTTCTGTGGCATGGATTCATCAGCAGATGTGATGAGGATCTGCTCAGAAATGAGATGCAACCATGGGAAATACAAGAAGGGGATCAGAGGAAAGTGAAAACAAACAAACAAAAATACCACCTCCAAAGCAAGAGCAAACAAACAAACAAAAAAAAAGCAAACACTAACCACATACTCATAAATTTCAGAGAAATCTGACAAATTGAGATATTAGAGAAACCGAGATCTGAATTAAAAAATAAGAACAAGTAATCATAAATTTGAGTTATTTTACAGAGTTGTGTGCAGAATATTTTCCATGTTTTCAGTACATAATAGAGTGTGGAGTAAGAGCAGATTAACTGAGGAGTATATGCAGTTCCAAGGTCTGGAAGCTCTGTCTCCCTTGGGAAGAGTTGGGAATAGTAAAAATTAGTCTTTATCTTATCTAGGCAGAGTTTGAGTGATTTGATTACAAACCACTCTCTTGATGACATTGACTGACCTACTTGTATGTCATTTGTTGTGGAGCCATGGAGAAGCAATTCTCGTGTCAGCTTTCTTAATCTACAAGGTAAATCCCAGCCCAAATGTTTCAGAATTTTCTAATAGGTCATTAGAACCATGTAATTTTGGAATAGCATACTGCCTGTTCTGAGAAGGCCATGATGTTGTGAGTGGAAGAAGTGATGGCATGACTGAAATGTTTCTTTCTCCAACCCAAAGATATAATAATTAACTTATCAGAAAGCCTGGCATGTAGAAAACACTGCTGACAATTATGTTGTATTGTGCATAAACCTACTGAAAAATCTCCTGAAGGTGAGGAAGACGTGAGCCTGGTCAGTATGCCTATGGTAAGCGGTGCTCTGCTTTTCTGTGGACAGATTTGGATGTGTGGGGGTCGACTTCTGATCATTCCCTGCTCCAGAGTGGGACACATTTTCCGTAAGAGACGTCCCTATGGCTCTCCAGGGGGACAGGACACTATGGCTCATAATTCATTGAGGCTGGCACACGTGTGGATGGATGAATACAAAGTAAGAGACATTTCTAGGACATGAAATATTTATTAGCTGGCTTACGTGTCTGAAGGCTGTGTCACAATGAAGACTCTTGGCCTTTCTAATGGGATCTTTCTTCTGTATTCTGATTTCCTAATGTTTATTTTGGTCTGAATTCCTAAACTCTGTAAGCTTGTGGTTTTGCTTTTGAGTGTTGAAATTTCACCCCTGTTGCTGCTACTGCTTGAGGGAGATTCAATATTATGCCTTTTTAATGAAGTAAAAGATGTGTAGGTTTCTTGTAAGCTCAGCATTGTTTTGTGTCCAAATCACTTGCATGTGGGAGCTGGATGCCTTTAGGTAGTTTCCATGTTGGTGAGATGGCAGTTTCATTGGTTATTTATTTGCTTTTTGTTACAATTAGCAGCCTGATTCTTAATCTGTCTAGCACTGTAAGGCCAATTGGGATTGATTTTTGGATTCAAGGGCAAGAATGTTTCTTCCCTGTATTCAGACCTGGCACTATGCTTTTAAAAGTAGATGCATCTATTGTGTGAAGCCCTCATCTCTGTTGTATTTGAGGGCATTTGTCTTGTGAGGGCATAGGATTTGCTTTATTGCCAGCTCCAGTGGTCCCCATAGTTTCTGTAGAAGAGATTTTTCTTAACTTTATACTCCTTAAAGTTTTATGTTTCAAGGCTCATCCTTTGTCTTGATACTCTGTCACTTTGAGGAATCTATTAGGAGTCGTTAATTTTTATCTTCATTCTCCATTTTTATAATGCATTGGTAGACTTGATCTATCACTCTCCCTTTTATTGGTGTCTGGGCACAGTAGTTTGTGATTTTATGATGGTTTTCTCTGTAGCTTAGAATTGATTCTTTATTTCCATCCAATAGTGCTTTGTCCAAAGAGAACATATACTGCTGATTGTTGCAGTCTCTTATCACACAGTTATGTTCTAACCTTTTCCAGCTATGTGTAATCTAATTCCATAATAGTTGCCAGAGACTGTCATTATGACAGATTTATGGATGGAATGCAAGCTTGGAGATATTTTCGTCTGTTGAAGTGATTGTGAGGTGAATCGAGCAAAGATAAGACAGAGGGCTGTTTTGCAGATATGAGCAAATACCAACATGTAATAAATAAAACTAAGTAATGGAAGGGAAACAACAGTGTAAATTTTGGTTGTAATGGTTGTTAAAATGATCTGAGTTCATGTATACGATGGAAATAAAAAATACAGAAGAGGTACGATATTAAAACTTGAACTTCAACCACAAAAGAGGTAAGTAGAGTAGCAGAGCTAATTTTTACCAATTCCTAATGACAAGGGCTGGCCTATCTCCAAGCTTCCTTGGAGGTGTCCAACATTCCCCTGTTTTTAATGTTTCATTTTCCTCTACTTTTGAAAGAGCAGTGTGCATCCACGTGCTCAAAGGTGTTGGTAAGGACAGATGTGCCATCTGTTTTGAGATGCGTCTGCTGTCTCTATGCCAGAGATGGCACTAAGTAATTCCAAATGTGTTGGCAAAGTCCAGGTGTCTGAGAGAGATTAATCCAGCAGAATATTGCAGCTCAGTGCCCTGATAACTGATTTTTAAGTCTTATCTAGTGAACTAGTTGATGTGCGAATATCATACTTCTTCTGTGAGCTCTGTAATTAGCACCTGAAATTAAAGACTCTGAGAGAACTTTTCTTCTCATTTTCTTGATGAGATTGATGAATGTAATTGTCTGAAATGAAACTTTGAGAGCTCTGCAAGCAGGGAGAAGTAAAAAAATCACTGATCTGTAATTCTCCTCTCTTTCCCTTCCCTCAACCTTTTCCCCCTACCTACAGGAGCAGTATTTTGCTTTGAGACCTGAGCTAAGGACAAGGCACTATGGAAATATAACTGATCGTGTAGAACTGAGAAAAAGATTGAACTGCAAGTCATTCAAGTGGTATTTAGATAACATCTATCCTGAGATGCAAGTATCTGGGCCCAATGCCAAAGCTCCACAGCCAGTTTTTATTAATAGAGCACAAAAGCGACCAAAAGTAATCCAGCGTGGAAGGGTAAGATAACCTTTCTTAAAAATACAGAGATCTGTCTTGAGATTTTCTTTTTTTTTTGAAAGATTTTCTCAGATCTGTTCACGCTGAACGCAGTTCTTGTTCTGCAGCAAACTGGAAATAATCTTTTACTGGACTATTTAGTCTGCACATAGGTTATGGCTAGCAGATTCCTGCCTATCTCAGTAATTGGAAGCATCAGGTAGAGATGGAGCGTGCTCCATGTAGTAGTGCAGCCCGCAGTAAGGAGGTATGAACAGTTGCTAGTGCTGCAAGTGAATGCAGGCTGGAGGACCAGAGCTCACGGACAGCCTATTGATATCATTACCTTTTGGTTGGAAGCAGCTGCCTGGGAAGCCACAGCTTGTGCAGTATTTTTAGAATTGAATCCCAGTCAAGTTGTAAAGTTAATTATTAGGGTATGCATGAATGCTTCCCCCAACTGCAACTGAAAAATGCAGTTCCTCAGCTTGGTGCTTCAGGGTTCCAGGGTTATATCCAGCACTGCGTGTGTGAGAGCTCTGACTCTGATGTCTATGAACTACTTCCACATGCCTGCGTGGAACAGAGCTATCAGCCAATGTCACCACTGTGTGCTGTGCTCTTCAGGATAAATCACTCAAAATCCCAGTTTATTCTCAGAAGCTAGTAGGTCCAGAGATAAATGCTGGTTTGACAGCTGGGAAGAGCTGTAATGATCACAGATCCGGATGGTTCTTTACAGTGTTATTAAATACTGATCATCATGGCCAATAAAAACAAGGAGGGAAAATTATAAGAAAAAAAAAATCTTAAAGCTGTAATGATTTGAAAGCCTACTTGTGAGTGAGGAATGATGGAAATTAAACCACTCCTAGAAGTCTCTGGAGTGTAAGAAAATGTAACTTAGAAGCTTTTCTGTAATTTGTTTCAGATGTGTAGAGGGAACAGGAGAAGTATGGTGTGCTTGGGGAGGCAGTTGGTGTGTCTTGGGACAGCTATTTCCAGAAACTCTCTTTAGAGAAGAACATTACTCTGTCTTTGTGCTCTCTAATTATGAGAGTGTGGTGGAGCAGTTTGTTCTTTTTATTACTGGAAGTGCCTTGGTTTATAAAAATCTGTGGAATCAATACAAATGCCAAAGCATCTATGTCTTCATAATAAAACACAACTAGCTAATTAGCCAGCCTGGCCTCCAGTTCAGGACAGCAAATTTTTTTTACTTTCTATCCAGCTCCAGATTGGCTATGATTACTTCAGCGTGCATGGCAGATCTGTTGCCCTGCCATCTCCTACACATGCAGAGTGGGACAAAATCGGGTAGACAGTGTGTTTGAAGTGGAATGGGCATTTAAGGAGTGTTTAAACCTTTTCCTTCTTACCTCATCTGTAGCAACTGTGACTTTTCATTTGTGTAAATGCTCTTGAGAATCAATTTGCAAGCAGATGATGTCAGAGACGCATCTGTTTAAGACCTTCCTTTTCTCAATAGCTTTGTCTTGTTTCATTAAGAGATGCTGTGGGAGGGACTTTGAAGCTAAACTGCAATAGAATGCAGTAAAGATTTGTTCAGTTGATGGGACTGTAGGCTTCTGTGGAGAGCAAGAAAGGGAAAGAAACTTGTGCTGAGCCAAGTTGCTTGTATTGCACTTCTACCATCCAAGGGAAGAATTGGAAAGCAAAATGGAACTAGAGAATGCTGGCTTTTTCTCCAGATTAATTTGAAAAACAAAATGGTATTTTAAAAGGGAGAAAGGGCCTTCTATTGCTCTTCTTTGTGAGCACATTGAGTGCTTCCAAAGCATTACCATGTGTTTTCTTTGGTATATGGTGTTTGTTGTTTATCCTGTTCATCAAACTGTTTTCCTTTTGTAGCTGTATCACCTTCAAACCAACAAATGCCTGGTTGCTCAGGGCCACCCAAGTCAGAAAGGAGGCCTGGTGGTGGTTCGGGAATGCGACTACAATGATCAAAACCAGGTATGATATTTTGAGTAGTGAACCATATCAATATGTTTTCCTGCAGACAAAATGCCCTGGGGTAACATCTCATCACCAAGCAGGTGATTCCAGAGTATTTTTCAAAAAAAAGGCTGGCAAAGGAGGTGGTGGAGCTCAATGTTCTACCTACTGAGTGTTGGATGTTATAATCCTGACTTTATGGGCTGAATCTCCATATGTGGCTGGAGACTGTCCTCAAGTGGCTCCTGAGGGATTCATGGTCTACTGACCGACACTTCAGAATTTGTAGAAGCTCTTCCAGTCTGTTCCTCATACTGAGATTCAAGGCAACCTTTTCCTGGCCCACTGTTCTTTGTGTTCTACTACCCTAGTGCTCTGCTGCTGTACTTTGGAATGAATTAATGATTTGTTGCTTTTCCTAAATTTCCTGGAATTCTTTCTATTTAGCAAGTTCTTTGGCTGCAGATTGCTGTTCTGGAGCTTAATTGGGAATGGATGTGAACATCCAACGATAGAGGCTTCATGTAGTGATATAAAAACTGCTGTTCCACTTCTTTCTGACAACAGAAATTCAGGACTCAAGATGAGGAGAAAATCTCCAGGGTAGAGAGGTCCCTAATGCCTTAAAGACTGTTATCTAGTTAAGAGCTATATTGAGAGCATTACAGTTTAGAAGCATATGGCACTCAGGTTTAAAAACCTAAATCTCATCTGAAAAGTAGTCAAAGACACAAAATAAATGGGATCATAGAATCACCAAGCTTTGAAAAGACCTCCAAGACATCTAGTCCAACTGTCCACCTACCACCAGTACTTCCCCACTGAACCATGTCCCTCGGTACAACATTACATGGATGGTATCCACCATCAGAACAGATAGATTTCCATTTGTTTCCCTTCATTCCTGTGGTATTTCCAGTAATGTACTGCCAAATAGTTGGAGGAGAGAGCCTATTTTTTTCCTCCTTATCAAAGCCTTCTGATTTTTCTCCTGGAGACAGAAAACTTTGGTTAGCCTTTAGATTTTTTAGAGATGAACAATCTGAGCATTAATTTGTCTGGTTTTAATCTTGTTTACTAGTGGTAAATTAAGCAACTAGTTCTCACGGAAGAAAACTGGCTGTGCTGTTGTCTTTTGCAATGATTTTGTTCTCCAAGTATGTTAACCAACACTGTGATTTTCTACTAGTAAACTTGTTTTGCTCTACTAACGATTTGTCAGTTTTCTTGCATATCTTCTGAACGCTCTTGCTCTAGATGCATGAGAACAATGTAAAGAAAGGGCATGTAACAAGTTATGCATATAAAACATGACAAGAAACTTGCTCAGTATTGGAAGGTTTTGGCCTTTTCCACTGGTGTTGCCAAAAAAGGCAAGAACTGTATTGTTCTAGAAGAATCTATCCCATCTGTTCCATCCATACCTTTAGCCTTGATAAGAAAGCCTATGATGGGTCCTAGTGAAAGTGGTCTGGGATAAGTTAACTCTATTTCTCTTTCCAGGCTACTTTTTACCATGTGAATAGATAGCAGTCTCAGTAAGTTGAAGGAACAAAGTGAACTCTACGTGGGAAACCATGTGAAGGTCTTGGAAACAACGCTGCCCTTCTTGAGACTCACTGAGTGCAGTACTTTGGACTGGAAAATGGTCTTCTGCATGATTTTGTAGTTAGAAATAGCATAGGTAAAAATAGTGGAAGGGTCTGGTAGAAACAAGATCAGAGATAAGAAGCCTGAAGTAACAGAAGCTGAGAAGCAGAAATACTGAGTGTGAATTTTTCAAGCAGAAGGCTAACATGGAATTAACGTTGTGTAGTTGAAGAGTGGTTGTGTGGAGATGCCAAGACAGCTGAAGTGAATTCTTCTGCTCAGTCAGCAGTGTGTGACCTCTTTCCATAAACGAAACTGGGAATGCACGAGGTAGCACACAGCGTGAAACTTGGGTGGTGAAGGAGGCCAGAAAGCATTTAAGGGCTTCAAAAGGTCAGACATCTCCATCTCTGTCTTTCACAATTAAATGCAGAAATAAACAAACAAAAACAAGCACCCTAAGTGTTGTGGATTCACCAAAAACGTTGTCTAAGGTTAATAGATGGTGATTAGGCAGCAAAGGTGCTGAAGTTCTTCATGACAGATGCTCCAAAGGAAAAAGTAGTTACTAATAAACTTGTAAGAGGAGCTTCAGAGACCCCAGTGAAGATTTTTGGAATGAAGCATGAAGGCCAACAGAAGATGTAACTAGTGGGACTGGCTGTGATCTAGATTGGCTCTCTCACGTGTCTAATGCCTGCTTATCTTCTACCTGACCTAAATGCTTCAAGTCAAACTGCTTTTCAAAAAAAAATCTTCTCCTAGTCTGCTGAGTAGTGTTTGTTTTTTTTTTTTTCTATTCTCTTGGTTTCACCTCTTCTCTGTTCATTTGTTTCACTTCAGTAACTTAAGCTTTCTTTAGCTTAGCAATGTATTAGGCTTCACAGTTGTGAATGCTGCCCTTGAGGCTGGGGTTAGCTGGTGGGTGTCTGTGCTCAGCTGCATGGGGGTTGGGAAGTCACAAGAGCTGTTAACCTCTTGTATCACTCCATCAGTGTAAGCATGTGTAATTCTGACTCTTGAACTGTTTGTAGGAGGATGAGCTTTAAGTGCTACAGCTCTTCTGTAGGGTTCTCCTCCCTAAATCTCTGCATCATGGGTGTAAGTTTTGTTTTTCTGATGCATTTGCCTGGAGTGAGTGTGGAGAAGTGTGAGCTATCTCTACTGCTGCATTTTCATCAGCCCATTGAAGGACATGATCCCACAGTTCCTCTTCAAATCCTCAGCCACACACTGAGATACGAAATAGGATCACATGGACATCAGCAATGCCTTCAGGAGAACATTGAGTCTCCTGGATAGCAGTAGCTTAAAGTAATGATTGCAGATCCCGTGCTTTGCCTTTGCTGCTGACTTTCACAAGTTATTTGGTGCTGTGATGTCACTGCTAGCCACTAGAAACATGAACTGAAGGGCTACACGTAGCTGTAATGATGCAGTCGCTGGGCACAGCTTGTCCTCATGCTGAGGTGGCTGCTTGGTGCTCTTCAGCTTCATTTTGTCATTTAAAAAACTCTGGAATAATGCACTGGTGCCAATGTAAGCAACAGATGGCAGCTGCTTGGAGTGCTGGAATGCCTGTGCTGGCAGCAGAGCCCACAGCCATAATTCTGTCACACACAGAGCTGGTTCTGTAATAGTTGCTGGCTTGCATTTATTGGAGTGAAGTTTTTCATTGCATTCCTCTCCTCCTAATGCAATTTACAGATGAAATGAGTGTGCATCCACAGAGCTTTGCCAGCTGCCCCCTGTGCCTTTTGCTACACAGCATTGCACTCTGAAAGCCAAAGTCCTTCAGTTACTATTGGTTTGATTTTTTTTTTTTCCCCAGGTTGAGTGCTGGGTTTTGTTTTAGTACAGCCATCTGTATTGATCTGGACTCAAAGTCTGATATAGTTAACTGCTCTTGTCCTGAGGAAGTGGCAGTGTGGGGCCTTCTTCCCTGCCTTGGGCACTGTTCCCCCCCTGTCCTCACTTGGATGTCCCCAGAAGAAGTTCAGCTGCCTTTTATTCATTTGCACTAACCATGCTGTGGGGATAATTTCATCTTTTGGTAGTATAAAATAAGTCAATAACACAGCCCTGTATATCTTCATTATGACAAAAGAAAATGAAAAATTTGCCAGAGGAATCTCTGGATTTCTGCATGGTCAGCCTATGGCAGTGAGGATGATGGATAATGTTCATCATCCATCCATGTGGCAGCTGGAAAATGTTTAATAAATTTCAGAGTGCCTGAAGACTTTCAGTTTTATGATAAGGGGTGGCTTTGCTTTCGCTGTGCTGGAATCTGCTAACAGTCTGCATGTTTACAGCAATACTTAAATTTGAGTTTGGAGCCACAGCATCTCCAGACTTCAGGCCTTGTTTTTCTTTTTCCCTTGTTTTCTACTCCAAACATGTAATTAGTTTGAAATTAATTTGGGCTGCCTGGTCTCAGCCTTTCTGGAGAAGAAGCACGGCTTTCTCTGCTGTTGTGTGCTCTTGGTGCCCATAGCACAAAGTGAGGTAAACTCCTTTGTGTTTCTGGCCAAGTGCAGCTGTTTCCAGGAAGACTCGAGGTACTTTTTGGCTTTGTGTCCTGCCTGCCTGATGGCACTTGGCCCAGCTAAGGAGATCCACCATCCTTCTCATCCTCAGGGGTGGACTTAGTGTGATGTGATGGTGAGCTTGGGAGAGGGGCTGCATGTTGCTGTCATCCCAACAGGACAGGAGGAATGTGTGGGTGTGCTTTATTTCTACATAGGGTCACATGTGGTCCTCTGAGCACCTCTGCATAGGATAATGCTGTTTGGTGTTGGGAAGGTGGTGGAGCACTGCAGCTGCTTTCCAGGCTCTGCTGGGAAAAAAGAAGACAGCAAAGCAACAGCAGGTGTGGCAAGGCATCTCTGTGATGCCTTGTAACTCTGCAATTGACCTCTTTTCTATCTCATCTTTCAGATGTGGGTTTACAATGAAGATCACGAGCTGATTTTGAATAACCTCCTGTGCTTGGATGTGTCAGAAACTCGCTCGTCTGACCCTCCTCGCCTCATGAAGTGCCACGGCTCTGGTGGATCTCAGCAGTGGACCTTTGGGGTAAGTGTGTAGCCTGGAGCACAGCACAGGGCTTGTGATCAGTGCCACCATAAGTGATGGTGGCACCAGTGGGACATAGGATGGAGTGTAATTATGGCCAAATTTATCAAGTCCACAGTCAGTACAGCCTGTGCAAAGCTACACAGTGTTGGTAGCTGCACCTCAGCCTGAGCAGGACATCCCTGAGCTCCAGGACCTGCAGGCCTTTTCCTTTGCAATGTTGGGAAGTTTTTGCAGTCCTATTTAGATTTCTCTTGTTTGTCACAGCCACGCACAGATCTGTGTCCTGTGGGATGTGTCAGGTGGAAGAAACCCACCCCACAGCTCTGCTGGCTTTGCAGGACTAGGAGATGCAAGCAATCCTTGTCATGGCTTCTGCTGAGTGTGGGGGGCAGAACTGAGGATCCAGAGGAGCAGTTTTGCAGCTTCTGTCCTGTAATAGCATCTCATTAATTTAATGTCTTATTGCCTCAGTTCTGTGACTCTACTGTGGCCATGTGAAATCTGGCTCCTTGGTGTTAGCTCAGGGGCTGTCACCTCACATGCCCTGGTGTAACAGTGAGCCCATAACATAAACATTGAGCAAACAGGAGTATGCTGCCAAGACTGCATGCTGCACATCCAGGACCCTGCATGATCCTTCTTGGGTTTGTGCTGTGCCACTCATTGGCAGCATTTGTTCCTCAGAGGAGTCAAATAAGGCAAGCTGCTGCAGCCCTGCCAGCAGTCATGGAATCACAGAGCCACAGAGGTCGGAAGGGACCTCTGCAGATCATTGAGTTGCCCACCCTGCTGAAGCTTCCCTGCAGGGGCTTACCCAGGAGTTACTGGGAGATAGAAAGGCCAGCAATACTCTGTTGGTTACAAGACTTTGGACTGTCCTTTGAAGACAGTAGAGGACAAGTTCAAACTGTGGAAGCTGATGGTGTAGTGGGGGCCACAGGGTGCCTTACTGCAGGGGCCAGCAGTTGAAAAGCTTATGTAAGTTCAAGGGAAATCACCACGTACTGGGGGGACAACAAGTTCCAGTTTAATTATACCCTGCCTGCAACAAGCTTCAGGAATTCTGCAATAAAATGCAGCTGGAAGGGGTGAGTGATCTGGAAAAGCACTGGATGTTCTTGCTGTGTTTCTCCTCCCTCCCTGGCCATGCTAGGGAATGGCTTTTGTCATCCCTCTATCTGATCAAGAGACTGGTACAGGCAGAATCCAAAGTAGGTCCCTATGAAAGTATGTGAGCCTTTTCTCCGAGGTCTGGATGTGGTTACAGGGTGTTGTGGCTGTGGGCCTGGTGTCTCAGGGCTGGGAGGAGGAGCTGCCCAAATGCCCGTTTCTCAGCAAGGAGCAGCCCCTTCCCCCATGGGGAGTGCCCCGCGCGTCGGTTCCAGCTCTAGTTTGTCAGTGAAGCAGAAGTTGCAGTAAAGATCTCCTGTTTGTCTGTCTTTCTTAGAAAAACAACCGCCTCTACCAGGTGTCGGTGGGGCAGTGCATGAAGGTGGCAGACCCGCTCAGCCACAAAGGCTATGTCACCATGGCCATCTGCGATGGCTCCCTTCCTCAGCAGTGGCGTTTCGAGAGCTGAGGCGGTGAGCCAAGGAGGAGCAAAGCCGGGCCTGGCTTCCCCTGCAGCCACCGTCTGTCACCGCAGAGCTGTGCTGTGCTGGGAGCCCTTGGCCGCTGCAGCCAGCGGAGCGCAGGGAGGAGCCTTCGGCTGCGCTGCGGGGAGCAGCTCGGGGAGCCCTGGGCTGTGTCGGATGCAGCAGTAATGGCAGCGGACCCCTGAGTTAGCCTGGATCATTGGACTGATTTTCAGTAAGAGAAATCATTAGAGCAGTGTAATTTAAATGGTGAGATTTTTAGCTTTGCGGGTCTTTTAAATGACAGAAAGGCGTTCATCTTTGAGTATTCCACGTGCAGTAATTCATGTTTTTAGTATGGTTTTACTGGAGGAATTATTTTACTTTACCTGGAAAGTATTTTCAATTCCCTTTTATCTTCTGGAAGTTGTCATTGTAATATTTGTTTTAATTTACGATTTTTAGAACATTTCACATAGCTGAACTCCTTAGGTGTCATTGTCACCTCCTATTTAAAACAAAGTAACTATTACAAAGTCTATTTTGATGACTCATGACCTAGCTGCATATAAAATAAAGTATCTGTTTTTTATGACTCCCTCTGGCTGTACTCCTTGTAGCCATCAGCAGGGCTGGCACTGATGTGGACCTACACCCTCACAGCTCTTCCATCCTTCCCACTCCTTTTTTCACAGCTGCATTCTTCCTTTCATCTCCTGCAGGGTTTGGGGGTAAGTTTTGTGTTGGGATTTTGTTTTCCTGATTCTGCTTCCCCTCCCATGTGATGGGTTGGTTTCACTGCTTGCTGTGCTTTCAACCCCTGCTTCAGCCCTCAGGGACCAGCACATGGGAACTGCAGAAAGCAAGCCCTGCTCTAACCTCTGTGCTTCCCCCTTTGCTGTGTTCATCAACCAGAGGCAGCTCTGCCCTTCCAATCGGGCAGAGAAACACAACCCAGCATTGGGTTATTGCAAGGTGGCAGGATGAGGTGGAATGATGACAGTCCTCAGTCTTCTCCTGTGAGAGCAGATCCACCTGTGACAGCCTGATGGGTCCTTCGGCCACAGAGGGAGGAGGAGTGCAATAGGAGCAACAGCTGTGAGCGGTGCCCTCAGCAGGAGCTGTGTCACAGGGCAGGGTGCAGGTAAGCAGGGGCTGATCACAAAGCCCAGCAGTGGGCTGCAGTGGATTGCCCTCCAGACAAAACATCACCAGCCACGTTCCTTCCTTCTATGACAGTCCCAGCAGCCAACCACAGCCATGGTGACAGCTGGGCCAGGCACTGCATTTGGCTGTAGGCTGCCTCCTGGCTCTGTGCTCCTATTGCTCCTTCTCTTTTTCTTCCTTTTTTTTTCTTTTCCCCTGTATCACTGTCAGAAGCCGACGCTTCCAAAGCAGGCAGAGCACAGTGCCACCGCATGCCCACCCTCCTGCTGCACAGAAAACCTTCCTTACAGAAAAGGTTGTTATGCACTGGAATCGGCTCCCCAGGGAGGTGGTTGAGTCACCAGCTCTGGACGTGGCACTCAGGGACATGATTTAGCAGAGGGTTGGTAGAGTTGGGGTGGTATGGTTGGGTTGTGGTTGGACTCAATGGTCTTTAAGGTCTTTTGGAACCTGAGTGGTTTTTTACAACACTGCAGTGCTGGAGAGGAGATGTGTGTGAGGCCAGAAATGCAAAAACATCCCCAAGAAGACAGGAGGGGACCACTATAGATGTAAAATATTTTTATTTGTAAATGCTGATCTTCTAAATCTGTTTCCACAAATTCCAAAACCCATAACACTCTGTATACTTCAAAAAATTCTTTTTTTTTTTTTTTTTTTTGTGATGTTTTTCTTTTTTTGCCAACATTAGATACTATTATACAGAACAGAAAAAAACTGTAGGACAAATACTGGTAGGATGTCGGAATATTGTACAAGAGAAGAAAAATATTCAAGAAACAATTTCATACAGCTATTTATCAAGAGAAAAATATATACAATTGATTTATTCTGTAAGATAAAAATACATCATGCCATATACATTACAAGTTCAGAACTGTAGCACTGAATATACCAACAGTTTACAGTCCACTTTCATTGTGCACACAAAAAAACTTCATTTTTTTTATATTTAGTCTGTGAAGTGTCAGTACCAGAATTTTAAGTACAAAATAAAAAGCTAACCTGCTTCCAAATGCTGATTAAATCTCTACAAGCAAACACAAAACAGTGTTTTATTTTTTTTTTTTTATTTTAAAGAAATGTAAACAAAAACAATCCATACAAACACATCTTTAAATTACATTTCCCATAACCCAATTGCCAGCGTCCTGCAGCTGCACGCGCTCCATCTCAGCTCTGTTCTCCTTTTCCTGGGTGAAGGCAGCGGACCGGAGCTCCCCCTGCGCTCCTACGCTGTTCTCATGTTCAGCTCCCCCTCCTCGGGCCCATTTTTGCTGAAGGAAAACCCAATGCTC